CTAGCATTACGGAGGGCCTTCCTATAAGTTTTAAGACTATCTTGCCAAATTAAACGAGAATTTTCCACTTTGGTGGAACGCCAATTCCTCTCAAGTTTCCGCGATATTTGCTTTAATTTGCGAGTTTCAGTATTATACCATGGAGCTAACCGTCTTTGTTTTAGTATTTTCTTTTTTAGAGTGTCTACAGAGTCGAGTGTCATTCGCAGCGAGCCTGCAGCACTATCAACAAGATGATCGATTTGGGAGGGACTGAAATTAGCATAGGAGTCCTCCGTTACTTTGTGACTAGATAATGTATTTAGAGCTGATGGAATCGCTTAAATTTAGCTACAGCACTATCAGACAGACATCTTGTATAGAAATTTTTGCCCAATGGCGTGTAGTTCAGCAATAAAAACTCAAAAGTTATCAAACAGTGGTCGGATAAAGAGGGATTCTATGGGAACACCACTAAATGTTCAATTTCAATACCATACACCAAAACAAGGTCGAGGGTGTGGTTAAAACAGTGAGTCGGTTCATGAACACTCTGAGAGAAGCCAATGGAATCTAACAGAGAGATAAACGCAGTATTAAAGCTGTCATTCTCAACGTCCACATGAATATTAAAATCCCCTACAATAATAACTTTGTCTGTTTTAAGGACTAAAGTTGACAAAAACTCTGCAAATTCAGATAAGAATTCAGAGTACAGGCCAGGTGCTCGGTACACTATAACGAAGAGAATTGGTTGCAGTGATTTCCAACTTGGGTGCGAAAGACTAAGAACAAGACTTTCAAATGAGTTATAGTTTGGTTTAGGTTTAGAGCTGATTAATAGGCTAGAGTCGAAGATAGCTGCAACTCCACCTCCTCAGCCTGTGCCTCGAAGAATGTGAGTATTAATATGACTGGGAGGGGTGGATTCATTTAGGCTAACATATTCTCCATCACCCAGCCAGGTTTCAGTAAGACAAAATAAATCAATATCATAATCTGATATTAGTTCATTTACTAGTACACCTTTAGAAGAGAGAGATCTGATGTTTAAGAGTCCACATTTAACTCTCCTATTCGTTTGCACTATTGCTCTTGTGGTTTTAATTTTTATGAGGTTTTTATGCACAGCTCCTCTTCTGTTTACCTTTTTAAATAATTTCGATGGTCGGGGGACAGACACCATCACTATAGGATTTTCACTAAGTAACTCCTGAAATGGAGGTGCAGAGAAGTGTGTTAGACTGCGACTCTGCGTAGGGTTTTGGGTGGGTAACTGCTGAAAAAGAAGGGCAGAGAAGTGTGTTAAACTGCGACTCTGCCTCCTGGTCTCAACTCTGGGTTGTCATGGATTTGGTCCACTAATAAACTTGGCCAGATTTCTAGAAATGAGAGCTGCTCCTTCCCAAGTGGGATGGATGCCGTCTCTCCGGATCAGACCAGGTCTTCCCCAGAAAGTCTGCCAATGATCAACAAAGCCCACATCGTTTGCTGGACACCACCTCGGCAACCAGCGGCGGAATGACGACATGCGGCTATACATGTCATCACTGGTCAGATTTGGCA